TGTGTTATCTTCTTCTTGCCTTCTGCATCCTTAATGATGCCGTTTGAGCCATTTCTTAGTTCCTTCCGCCATTGAGATCGATTTCTCAGTCTCAGGACAAAAGAGTAGCCCTACCATTTTAAACCAGTTCAACCGCCCCGAAGGCCGTTGTCCAGTAATTGATGACTGCTTATACCGGCAATCATTTCGGTGACTTATTCTATATCAACCCAAAAAATCGAGAGGGTTTGCACTTCCCGCCATCCCACCGTACCGAAGCCCCGCTTCTTTCTCTCTACCGCCGTGCCCCGCGATGTGGACTTCATTTCATCCGTAACCATGGACAAGGGAACCCTAAACAGGTACTAGTTTCCCGGTCAGAAACCCCCAGAATCTGCGGAGGCAGGGAATTGGATTTCATTTTCCCCTATAGGACTATCTTCAAGAATTAAAGAGGTTTTCCCCCCCCGCTCCCGGACAGAAGAGATTAAACAAGGAAATCTTTCAGTCAACTGAAAAACGTTACCTGCAGAAGGGATATTTCAATTCTTTAAGATAAGACTTCAAAGATGCAACGTGTTTTCATTTATTACCTTCATATTATTTTATGGGTTGGAGGCTTGGACACAGCGGCGGCTTTGTGCCGTTTAAAAAAAGTGGTGAAAATGAGGAAAGCTATATGCTGGAGCCTAAATGGCGTTTGGGTACCAACTTCTCACACCAAATCTCATTAAAAATTCTTTAAAAAAAAATATAGAGTTTAGGGCCCTAATAACTTGAAATCAGTTTTTTTAGGACACTTATACCTAATACGATTCGTTCTGTTGCCTGGGGTAATTTAGTCTGAACTTGACATTTCATTTAAGGTTTTTGGCCATCACCGCCTGATAAAAACGAGTTGGTGAGTTTTGATTCAGCCCGCCCACTCTGAGTCAGATGCTGATTGCAGCCGACCACACTGAATCGACGCGATTTTTAAAATACTGGTTTATATCGACCAATGTAAAAGGAATCCCTTTTAATCTTAAATTTTCTAGTGCCTAACGGAGTCTTTCAGATATTACACCCAAGAAAATGGGTCCCTAAATGTTATTAATAATCAATTATAAACACTAGAAAAAACCTTTCAGTACCTACTTCTTCTCTTAGGTGCCTGTCCGTTCCGATCGTTGAGCGATCAGTTCAGGCTAGAGATGACTTGTGTTGTTATGCTAGAAACGAAAAAGCCGTGGTGAGGTCTCTCGATACCAGTGCTTCTCTGTAATACCAACTTACATATTTTGCGTATATTTACAAGTGTGGGTCATACTAAATAAGCAGTTTAATCTTAATGTGGGTAACAAAACATAAGCCCCAACACGCGAAGCTCAACGATGAAGAAATTCGGAAAACATTTTATAGTACTTGGAGCAGAACGCTTCGGAAAGCTACCAAATAGAGAAAACACAGCGAGTCGATAGGCGATGTCAACGCCAAGAGTGTGGTGAACTACAAGAAGATCATGACTAGCGAGAGACTCGTCGATTATATGGACTGGCCAAGTAAAATGACAGAAGGGGAGAACGCTTGCTACACTTTTGTATAGACAACAACCCGTTTGTTACTAATACAGTGCTTTCAACACACCCAAGACGACTATACACTTGGATATCATAAGGAAATAGATACAGAAAACAGATAGAATTTTATTACTGTAAAAACCCGTTGGAGGAGCGCTGTTAAGGATGTTAAGACCTATCCAGGAAAAGAGTTGTAATAGCGACCATCAATTTTTATCAGCTGAATTCCGCATGAAATTTAAGAAACATCCAAAACAGAAATACAACAACTAAATGGCATCTAAATATAACGATCCGTACAAAAAAGCCGCAATGCAACAGCTATGTGACCTCAAACAAATCATTAAATCCAGACGAGTCCTCAAAACGCATATGAGACAAAAACAAAATCCATATTGCATAATGCTGCGAAAAATATTAAGAGTGAATAGAGAAGAAAGAAGGAAACAATGAATAACGGACTCCACGTGGACTAAAATTACAGGAGAGGAAGTGCTTAAAAGCCCAGGACTGAACAGTGAAAGTGATAAAGAGGCCTATAAAGACGCTGAACGGTCAAATAAAACGACTCTGCCAAAAAGGACAAGAACACCACACTTGAACAAAATCTGCATGGAAAAAGAAGGGCAAAAAACCAAAACTGAGAACCCAGAGACATGTTTAAAAAAAATAAAGCAGATAACACGTTCCTTTACACCAAACTACCCTGCTATCAAAGATGATAACGGAACTCTACTCACTTCTAAAAAAGATATTTTACCACAGATGGAAAGAATACTGTGGACGACTGATGAGGGAGGAAAGCACAGACGCCCCCATCACAACAAGAAGATTCCAGTTTTGCGACGGAACCTGACCGTACTCAAAAGTGAAGTTGAAGCAGCAATAAGATGCAAAAAAGTCAAAAAGCGCCGGTTCCAGATAACATACCTATTGAAATGATTTGGGCCCTAGATGGACGTTGGAGTGGATATAATACATCAAATTTGTCAAAGAGTGTGGGAGACAGGTAAATGGCCTGAGGACTGGACACAATCACTATATATTCCCATACATAAAAAGGGAGCGAAAGATTTATGTAGCAACTATCGCACAATTGCTTTAATTGCGCATTGCAGTAAGATACTCTTACACATAATTCTCGAGAGGATAAAGCCCTTTTTTACTACCTAACATTGTGGAGGAACAAGCAGGTTTCGTCCCAGGACGTGTACTAAGGGAACAAATTTTAAACGTACGGCAGATTGTAGAAAAATCCAGAGAATTCAACATCACAACATATTTGTGCATTCAAAGATATAAGTAAAGCTTTCGATTTGTTCAACTGAGTAAAATGTGGCAGGTTTTGTCTGAAATGGAGTCCCTAATCATCTGATACTGCTAAGTTAAAAGCCTGTACCAATAACAATTATGCCAGAGTTAAAATAAATAGGGGAACTAACTGACAGTTTTCAGGGTCACAAGGGCGTGAGGCAAGGTCTGCATACTAACCCCAATTTTATTTAACATCTATGGTGAATGGATAATGCGGAAAGCTACTGAGGACAGGAACGGTGGCATCACCATTGGCGGGAAGAAGATTTGCAACTTGAGATATGCAGATGATACTACTATCCTCGCTAGTTCTGAAACTGAATTGATTCACCTGCTACAACGGATAGAAGACGTAAGCTTAACGATGGCCTTAAAATAAACAGGGATAAAACGAGAATCATGATAATTGACAGAGCTAACAACAATCAAAATCATCTGGTTAGGATAAACAATATCGCTGTTGTAGATAAATTTGTGTATCTGGGTTCATTAATAACCAACAAAGGGAGGCTGTTACTGAAGAAATAAAGCGGCCGGTCAGCAATCGCAAAAAGCGCTATGGCAAAATTAACAAAAATTTGGAAAAGCCATGAAATTACTACTGATACAAAAATGAGACTAGTAAGAAGTCTAGTTTTTCCAGTTTTTACTTATGCAATCGGAATGCTGGTCCCTTACTGAGAAAGACAAAAAGAACATAGATGTAATTTGAGATGTACTGCTGGAGACGAATGCTGAGAATACCATGGTGGCCCGAAGAACAAATGAATCCATACTGGTCCAGCTAAACATAAAGAAAAGACTAAGAACACAAATAACAGAATAGATAATAAGCTATTTTGGACATGTGCTTCGAAGAAATGGTCTTGAAAAACTTACCATCCAGGAAAAGTAGAAGGGAAAAGAAGTAGAGGTAGATCTCCTACACGATACACGGACCATATTGTTGCTACCATTGGCGCTCCATTGTCAGAATGTGCTAGATTGGCAGAAGATAGAAAAACGTGGATGAACATTGGAAAAATTACCTAACAGCTTTCATGATATCACGATACCTGCAATCAGGTTAACGACTAAGAAGAAGAAGAAGATATAAATAAGCATTATGCAGAAACAGAGATTCGGCCTGATCCTGATGCTCTATTTCTTTTCGTTGCGATCCGCTACTAGGCGCCTTTAGGCAGGCCGATTGGGCGGCCTATTCGCGAAATCTGAGCATGAAGACCATGTGGCATACATGGGCTCGATGGCCAGATCTTTCGGATGCCTAGCTGTTGAGGATATCAAAATCTTTGCCAAACCGGCAGCTGAGTATCCGAACACACGACGCCCCGACAGAGAGACTCCAGCCAAGGTTGGTGGATATCTGCTCGGGATACACACTATAGGAATCTCAGTCCAGAAGTTTTTAAACAAAGTAAATTCAGTAAAGAAAAATAGGAAAACAAAGCTGAAAAGCTACCTCTAAAGCAAAGTGGCATCACCACAACCATGTAAAATGAAGGTTGTTTCTTCTCCCAAATCGCCCGAAGTTATAGTTCAAGCCTCCCTTGCGTAAATCAAACGTAAGGAAGGGAAGGTGGCAAAAACCTGGGTTAAAAAGATAGGTACCGAGCCAAAATGACACGTTCTTTTGGAACGAGACCGGTTTGATATTCGGACATGGGGGTCCCATTGTATAGTAGTGGTACAGTTATGTTCCTAGGGGTTGAAATGAACTCCTGTGTGTGAGTAAGTGTATGTGTGTGTTTGTGTGTCAAATGGAAAGTAGTCCACTTCATTCATATCGTAAAAGAAGTTATTGTCGAATTTATTACGAATAATATTGTCAAATTGTTTCTAAACACAATTAAAAAAAAAAACGATATTTTCGGATTTTCTGGTATAATTCTGAGTTTCGATTAAAAATATTTCGTATTATTTAAAAGTAAACTACTTTAAAATTTTAAATAAAAATAATATGTTATATGTTCATATAATATGTTAACATGACTTAGTAATAGTTGATACTATTAAGATAATTTAATATGCTCTTTATAGGTATCCCGAAATTCTTGATTATCATATTGTGCACCACAAATATACGATAGAAGGATACATTGACCTTTTGAGACATTATTTTTCGTTGCTTATATAAGTATAGCCAATATGCCAGTAATGTTTTGCGGAAAATGTAGGAAGTTTATATCCGAAATCGAGTTCCGTCTTTCGGTGAAAACTGGTCATGCCAAATTTTTTTGAAGTGACCCATAAACAGCACCTTGAACAATTTCGAGATAATATATTTGATTATTTTATTTTTAAATCGATAAGTGTAACCGTTTCCTGGATTACGAGTCGATGTAGAGATAACTCTCAGAGTTTCAACCGTACAGATTTACTTTTATATATTCATTACTCCTAGGTACACAAAAAATGAATAGTTACGGTCTTTGTGCTTTGTTCTCATCTTAGGGGCTGTCTCCCAAGAGTCGTGGGCTAGGGTACATTATAGTAGTTCGGGAGAAGTTTTAGGAGCTAGAAGGGGAGGATCTAGATCGGACGAAGTTGGACTTGGAAAACTAAGGCCTATTCCCGGATTAAGGCCGGTAAGAACCAGATGTTTTTCTTCTCTTTAGTATTTAAAATTTTTTTTGTAATTTTAAATATTACTAATTCATATTTTTTTATTTTTTTTTTAATATTCGCAAATGCTCACTTCTATTTTATTATTATCTGTTATTTGGATTTGTACCTTTCTTATAATTTTTTCTGTTTTTTAATTTTTATTTCAGTTAAATTATTTTGTTATATTCGCCTTGTCTAATTTCAAATTTTTTCATTTCTAATTTATTTCATTTCCAATTTTCATTTTGGTTAAATTATTTTATGTTATCCTCCATTATCTTTTGTGTTCGTGTTTTTTCTAAATACCAATACATATTTTTTGCCTGTGCATATTATTTATTATATTTAGTTATTTGCACCTCTAGTTACTATCCTAATTCTTTACTGATTTGTTAATTGGCCTAAACATAAAAATAATAGAAAAAAATTAGTTTCACATTCACAATTCTTAACATATTTTTGTTCTTTTGTTTTAATATTAAACATTTCGTATTTATTTATAATAAGTTAAAAAGGAGCTTTAATACCTATAATTTAAGTCTAAAGTCGGTTCGCTATATTTACGCGGGTTTCGGATTAAACATTTTATTGTAAGTATCCAGTTTTAATTACCTGCTTTTTGGGGAAATATCAACTGGTCAAATGAAATGAAAAATAATCCATAACTTTTTTAAAGTAAATAATACTGGAAAATCTTTTATATAATTGACAGTATAATAAGGGGAATTACTTCATTAATGGAGTCTAATGTGGCTAAAATAAACCGAATAATAATTTTTTATTACACTACACACAGAAAATATTGTCTATGTATATTTGTTCCATGGAGAGAATTTCTAATAAAAAATAAAAAAATTTAATTGCCAACAAAAATGAAAATTAGTCATTATCATCAAAAATATCATAATTGTCATCATCATCACTGTCATCACTAATAATTGTTATTATGATTGGACTTATTTCGTTTATTTTATTTTCATGAGACCACCAATCTTCTATTAGTTTTTCGCACTTGAATATACAGTTGCACCACACTTCTGGAATTACAATTGAAAGTGCCTTTCGCCAAGTTTCCCGAACTGCGTCATCGCTATAACCGTTAGGCCCAATATGGTTGTCATAATATTGTTTTGCTATTCCCCATATATATCGATGAGATTCAACTGGCAATAATACGGTGGCAGACGTAAAACTTGATGACCGTAACTTTCAATAATCTGATCCACAACAAAGGTTTTTGGTTTTGCGTGGATATTTGCCAAGCGTAATAATTCTGATTTTAAAATATGTTGTGTAAATGGTATATGTTCCTTTGTCAACCATTCTTTAATTTTATTAACAGTCCAAGAATTCGTTTGACTTTTGTTTAATACTTCAGAATGGTAAGGTGCATTGTCTAAAATAATTACGCTGGGCTCACTTAAATCTGGGAGAAGTTTTTCATGTAACCATTTTACAAACATTTCTGTGTTCATATTATCGTGATAGTCACTTGATTTTGATTTAGATGAAAATATTAAATCAGCTTAAATCAGCAACTATAATACTAACGAAATCTTGATAGTAGAGGGCCAGCAGATCGAAAGAGTAAAAAAGTACACTTACCTAGGAACACTTATAACAGAAAATAATGACTACACGGCAGAAATCAAAGTCAGAATCGAAAAAGCACGTTCTAATTTTATAAAAATGAAAAAGGTCCTATGTGGCAAAGATCTAACATTAGCTCTTAAAGTACGCCTAACAAAATGTTACGTATACAGTGTACTATATTATGGAGTGGAATCATGGACGTTAAATCTAGAATACCATGAGACGACTTAACGCATTTGAAATGTGGACCTATAGAAGAATTATGAGGGTTTCCTGGGTAGATATAGTTACAAACAATGAAATACTGAGAAGAATAGGCAAAGAGAAGGAAATTGAACTAACAATTAAAGAAAGAAAGCTACAGTATCTCGGACATGTGATGCGGGGCGATAAGTATGGCATCCTGCGACTCATAATGCAAGGAAAAATAGATGGCAGAAGAAGCATCGGAAGAACACGAATTTCATGGCTGAAGAACCTGAGAGAATGGTTTGGATGCAGCTCAAAACAACTATTTAGAGCTACTGCCTCAAAAATTAAGATAGCTATGATGATTGCCAACCTCCGTAGCGGAGATGGCACCTGAAGAAGAAGATTAAATCAGCACCGTCTATAAAACCCGATATTCCCTCCTGCATGTAAAATTATGTGTCGCTTTCCTTCTCCATCAGTATGTTTGATAGACTTTACGTTATCATCTTGCCATATTCTCTTGGTTGCACCCTAGAAAATATCCATGTTTCGTCTAAATATATAAAATTTGCACTTTCTTCTTTTAATTTAGAATATTTTCTTAGAAAGTTTTTTCTTTATGCACAACAGAACTTCTTTCACAAAGGGCTTTTCTGTTATCCTCCTTTTGAAATTTGAAACCCAAATTATGTATCACTTGCCATAGACTTGTTCTGCCAATTTTGTCAAATTTTCTATCTTTTAATTCCGAGAGAATTGTATTTAAGGTCACATGTTCCTTGTTGGCTCGCATTCGATAAATGGTATCACGAATTTCAAATTTTTTCTACAAAATCTAAATCTACAAAATCGCACTGGAACAAGATGGTGACAATAACATTAGATAAAATCCAATGGAAAAAGACGGAAAAGGTCTTATGTCTAAAAATGGATAGAAACAGGCACGATAGCAAAATTGATCGCGATGACAAAGTAGGAAGAAACTAAAAAATTATGTATAGAGATAACACGTTGTACGAAGTTCTTTCAAATTATGGAAACATAAAAAAATACCGAATAGAACTAAAAAGTCACTCACTATAACACCTTCAATAAAAATGTTGGAATGATTAACTTCCTTAAACATTAAGTTTTATACTTTTCTTTAGTATTATTTCAACAAATGTTTAAATGTACAAAATTTATAATTTGTTTTGGTTTATCTTTAATTTGTTTTTTAAACGCAATTAGGATTTTGGTATATAGCTATATTAGCTTTGTTATTCAAAATATATAATGTATATAACGTTATTCATTTACTTATTCTCTCTATCACGAATAAAATGGTGTAGACAAAATAAAAGTATTCTTTAAGCTAGCCTTTTTCTTTTCTTATGGTAATGTAAAGCTTTCTTAGTTTCATTTTAATTATTTTAAATAGTACAAAGCTTGATAACATTGGTACATATTTTTCAGATCCCACTTATCCAGCAAAGTGGATACAGTGCTGAAAGTAAGTATATTGTTTTCTTTGTTATTATCACTTTTGTTTTACTTTTTAATCGAACTTAGTTATCAATAATTGTCACTTACATTATCTGTCTCTTTGCTTTAACAATGAGCACTAGATAGCGCCTGATACCTTCATTACAATATTCAAAAATATTTATAACTCCTCTACTTGTCAGTATTATACGTATTTTAACATTTAAGCTGAAACGGGACACAAATATCATTGTATTAAATTTGCTTCTATTTAATTCAGATTGGGCTATACATTAATAGATTAAAAAATTTAAATATAGTAACCACTGTTATAACATTCGTCAAGGTTTCTCATTTTGTATTTGGAAAAGATATATTTAATAATGTCAAAAGGCTAAATTATCTATCATCAAGTAGCCAGTAGGCGAGATATAAATATTTTCGTTTGTATATTCACGATTATATCTTTCAAAACTGGAAAGGGGCGTATGAGGCGTTATTTTTCCCCAGTTTTGGGAAGAAGTACCAACCTTAATGTCTTCTAGGATTCAGAAATGCAGTGCCTTAAGCAATGTATTCATGTGTTACAAAAGCCACCCAAGCTCCGCGCGTCCTAGATATTTTACCACTTTGGGCGGTATCTGGTCTAGTACGGGGATCTACGTATCTTGAGTTGCGTCTAATGCCTCGACTAATTCATCAATGGTAAAGAGTATAGCTCGCTCAACTTTCTCGTTCCTCCACACTCCATGTTATCTACCGGACGGAAGAAGCTTGAGGTAGCAAGTGAGTTTTGTCTAGTGGCATTTCGTATGAGGGGTTCGCATGCAACTTTTTATTGTGATCCTATATTTTTGACCAAAAATGTCCTCATCCCGCTTGTCACACAGATCTCTCCAATGTTTTCTTTTTTCTGTACGAATTTTTTTGTTCTCTCGTTCGTGCGCGGTATTCTATCTTGTTTAGCTGGATTTGCTCAACCACAACAGAGTTTATCCCTGCTCTGTTCCTTGTCCTCCTTATCCTTCTCCTTATGGTTATGCATTTATCTCTGAGCTCTTCGATGTTTGCATTCCACCAGTATGACATCCTGTTTACCTCTCGACGACCTATTCTACTGCCTTATATAGTTTCTTCCATGACTCGTCCCAGGTTTCCCACTGTTGGTATCATTGGTATATCTGTATCATACCTAATTTCATTTTAATGAGTTCCTTATATATCTTCTAGTCATACTTCATCACCACATCTGACTTTGGACATCCCAATTTTCTTTTTCTTTTTCTTTTCGAAAATTCGTTCTTGGAGGAGAAACATTTGTTAACATCTGTTTTATTAAAAAATGATTATCCTTTATCGTTTATAAATAAGGAATTTTCAACAATCGATCGAATAGAACAGAACAACTTAGAACGAGATCCTACAGCATACACAAGGAATAATATGAGGAAAATAACAATACCGTAGATAAAAGGATTATCAGAAAAACTTAAAAGGATAGGAAATAAATTCAACATTTCAACAACATTCAAAACAACAAACACGTTGAGATCTATTTTGTCCAAAACCAAACCTAACAATGAACAAGAAAGGACAAAGAATTGCATTTATAAAATACCTTGTGAATGCGATCATTTTTATTTAGGTGAAACATCAAGGCCATTAAATGTTAGAACAACATCAATCATTAAAAATAAAGAATTTGATAGATCTCAAATATGTAAACATGCATGGGATAATGAACATAGGGTTCAATGGAATAATTCAAATGTAGTCCTAAAAGAAACGGATGGTAAAAAAAGAAAAATCAAAGAAGCGGCTCTAATTATGCTAAATGAGGCCAATTGTGTTGCAAATTCTTCGGCAGAATGTAGTAGGATCTGGTTACCAATATTGAAAGAGGAAGTTATTAATAAGAAAATACCAGTATTAGTAAGTCAGTAACATATAGAGGATACATCATTTATGTTTTTTAAATAACGAAACATATAAAATCAGAATTTTGGTGTTTATTGAAGGTAAACTAAATGCACGAACAAATACTTACCATGTCGGGATAGTATTATGAGGTTTTTTCCTGGTTTTTCCCTCATAATTTACTATGGAATCACTAACAGGAGAATTTTACTGTCATCATGTCATGTGTTTGTCTTTTTAAAGACGAATTACATGCTATGATTTTTTCTGACGGATATTCTCAAGTTAAAGTTGATTTCATGTAATCGAATGAACTGTATAAGTAAAGTCGTCCCAGGAGCGCAACTCAACAATATTGGCAATATCATTTTAAAGTCGTCTACTTTAAAATGCATAATGTATGTCTGAATTGTCAATATAAATGATTCAGATAAAATTAAATTATTAGAAGAATTTTTCACTATGTAACAAAAAACAAAATTTGTTTAATTTACTGTTTGTATTTTGAGAACGATTTCCGAAGTGGAAGTTGAAACGTCAATAAACGTATTTTTATCTTTAATTGTGGCTTATTCCCAGTTAAATAGTAATTCATTTAAAATGCCACAAGAAAATAGCTTCAGAACAATACCCTTCTCCATATCTGACACTCTCCAGTTGAGGCCGATCTAAGTTAAATAATTCATAATTTAAATGTTTGTTCTGTAATTTTTTGTTACCTTTTAATTTTTGTTTATAAATTATTGTTACAGTTTTATGTCTGTTTAAAAATATAACCGATTTGTCAAAATGCTATCTAGGACATATTCAGCGTTGTTCATTTTATTATCGTAATAAATATATTCATCGCATTGACTTCACTTAGTTTTTAATGTTAACTTACAATATTTAAATCAATTACTCACCTTGGACATTTCGAATTCTTATTCACAAATTTCGAAATACACCTTGAAGATAACTTTTCCATTTATCGACCGATAAATTTCGATCAATCTTATCAACTTCCTGAAAATCATTTACAATCAACAATTGAACAAAACATAATTTTCCATTGTTTAATTTTTAGATAATGTAGACGAAGATGAATTAAGAGACTTGTTGGGAGAGTATGGAATCGAATTTCTTACCGATGAAGAAAGGCAGAAGAACTTCGAACAATTACAAAAAGATATGTATGGAGAGGATCTGGAGAAAGACGAACAGATGAAAAAGGAAGATGTATACCGTAATGGGGAAAAAGACGTATTTGTAAAAAGACCACAGAAAACTTATTATTAGATAAGTTCAACGTTATTGGTAAGTAAAATTTTTTTATCGAAATCTGCAAATACTTTTAATTAGTTTATGTTTAAAATAATATCTTACATGTTAGAGACACTTATAGCAATTTTAATAATTTCATTTATTTGTTTTCATTTATTGCAATTAAAGTAAAAAATTTTGTAACGTAAACTTAAAAATTTAATACTCCATTTTATTAAACTTTTCCTTATTTTAGGTAATTTAGAAAAATAATTGTGAACAAAAATCAACAGAGTTAAAACGTTTGTGTTCTAAAAAAAATATAGACAATATTATTTGTTTAACGTTTGTGAAACGTTTAAAAATATAATACTTATGTATAAACAAGGGCTTTTACTTTTTTCGCCGCCTTTCTTCTTTTCACCAACATCTCCAATCCTTTCTATTGTATCATTTTTCATCTTTCTCCATCTTTAGTCTGTCTATGGCCTCGTCCAGTTCATCTCTCTATGATCTTCGTTGTCTGCCACTTTTTTCTTTCTTTTTAGTTTTAAATCCGAAATCTTTGATTTCCACCTTGTACTAAACTGCTCTTCTCAAGTATCCATATCAAATTAAATGATTTTCTTCAATGTAGCTTAGTATGTCTTATTCTACTGCCATTTGTCTTTTTTAAATTTCCCATTTCTAATACGATCCATTCTTGTTATTCTAAAGCTTCTTCTCATGAACTAAATTTCAATTGCTCTTATTTTGGACCTGTTTTATTTGTTTATTACTAAATTCTCTGCTCCGTAAGTCACTGTACTACGTACTATAGACTAAGTTATAATACAGTGCTTTTCAGATAAAACTATCCACCTTAAATAACTTTTGAACCTCTAATTTTTTGGAAAAACGCAAAAACTTTTTAATTAATATCTGAAGGGAGAGGCATAATATCATATTTAAGGTTGCTGGAAAATGCACCCTCTCACTGTATCAACCCTTTTTTCTTAAATTACTTCCCCCTTTTTTATTTTATATTTGGATTCTCCTTTTTGTACTGATTTCAGAAATGTATAATACATGATACTTGAAGTGATTAGTTTATGAGAAAAGTAAATACAAAAGCAAGAAAATTGTATTGAAAAAAAATTATTTTTTAACAATTTTATTACACACATCTAGAACAAACATTTCACTACTAAAAATTTTTACAATAATTGTTCAAAATGACTGCCTTTAATCCTGTGTTTAATCCGGTGACCTAGGTGGCCAATCGATCATCTGTCGTCTTTAACCTATCCAAGGACCGGGAAACGTTTCGTTTAAAAATTATCGCACAGGTGAAGCAAAGTGTGGAGAAGCTCCATCATGTTGAAATACAACCAAATCATCGGAAAGGTTATCATCATTTGCTACTATTGTTCTAACGATCAACCACTTGCCTATATAATTCAAGATACGATGCACCATTTAAGTTTCCAGTGATAAAAAAGAGTCCGATAATGTGATTACGTAGGATACCACACCATACGTTTAACCTTTGAGGATGCTGTGTGTGAAATTCGCGTACAATATGTGGATCACGCTCAGCCCAGTATCGACAATTATATCTGTTCACCAAACCGTTTAATGAGAATGGGCATTCATACGAGAAGCAAATATTGTTGAACAATTGTGGATTGTTAATGATGCATTTTATCATTAATTCGCAACATTCGGGACGACGATCAAAATCTTCTTCATTTAACTCTTGTACTAATTTAATTTTATATGGATAAAACTTAAATTTATGGAGGACTTGGAAGGTTGTAGAAGATGAAGTACCGATTGCTCTGCTTATTGTTGACAGTGAGTGTGACTGTTAAGAGTCTAAGTAACTTGCCCTAAAACAGCTACTTGGATTGCTTTTTTATTTACAAGTTCCTGTCGTTTATGTTTTTTATTGCAAACTGACCTTCTTGATCTAATTTTTTCTGCATCAGTTCAATCACACACTTATGAGTTGCATGTTTATTGTGGTGTGTTTCATTAAAAATTCTAGCAGCAGCTTTTACACAATTATTATTTTTGTAGTATAAACCTACAATTTCGATTCTTTCTTGCAAAGTGTACACCATTTCAGCGATCAAATTGCACACGTATCAAAATAAGCTGTTACTTACAAGTTATAACAAATTGTCACTATTAACCGATTAAAACAAGTGTAAAAATGATATCGAGAACCTTTGATAAAACTTGAATAAAAAGTGAATTTTTTTGTTTCTTGATTTTTAAAGGTACTACAAATTGTACGGTTAAATATTTAAAGAGTTTAAATTATGCTACAACCTATTTTGTTAGAGTCAATTAAGGTGAGGTGAGATACTGTCTTGTTAACAGGAAAATTGTCTATCTGATAAACTAATCACTTCAAGCCAAAGGTATTATACATTATTGAAATCAGAACAAAGAGAAGAATCCAAATATAAAACAAAAAAAGGGGGAAGTAATTTAAAAAAAAAAGGTTGATACAGGGGGTGAGAGGGTGCATTTTCCAACAACCTTTAATATGATATTATGTCTCCCCTTTCAGATATTAATTGACGTGTTTTTGCGTTTTTCCAAAAAATTATAGGTTCAAAAGTTATTTAAGGTGGATAGTTTTATCTGAAAAGCACTGTATATTCTCTTGCCTTGTATTCTTAGTAATCTCTCTATCCATAGTATCCCGTGCATTTGTTTTATACACGTTCTTGTCTATGCTAGTCTGTCGGTCATCTCTTGCTCATTGGTTCAATTCTTTGAGATTGTGAATCCTTCTTCTTCTAAGGGTCATCCCTCCAGATACTGACAAAGAATGTAGCGTAGAATCTTTTAAGTAATTTTAAACTGTTTGTCCTCGTTTTAGTGTAGTGTTTTGTACAATTTTATGTCAATATTAATGTTTCCACATTCTACGCTTGCCGGATAGTTTATATTTGACGAAATGCCCCTGAAGATGCTATTTTAAGCGAAAGTACTTGGGCTAGATTTAATTAACTTGTGCTCGATAACAGCCTTATTTTTCAAAATTTATTATTCTATTGTTGTACAGGTTTTTTACGTTTTCTTATAATCTCTAAGTCTACTCGATATTCTTCGTCGTCTTTGTAGCTATTTTCTGAGAACCGTGTCATATACCTTTTTTAAATCGATGTGTATCGGTCTGTGTTTTGCCATACTGGTCCCAGTTAATTGTTGGAGTGCATATATGTGGTGTGTGTAGAGCTGTCTAAATTACATAAATGTCGAACAGGTGTTTTATTGGGTTAGCAGCTGAATATTAAAAGCCAAAGAGTACCATCATTATCTTATCGACGACTAGTGATTTTGCACGTCGCCATGCAACGGGGATCCAACCAACTGCCATTTACAGTCGAACCACTCAAGTTTGTCTGACTCTTTCCAATTTTTTCCACTCTCTCTAATTTTTCTAGTAAAAGGAAGTAAGTTCCTTATATTCTTCTCCAATAATTTCTCAATTCAAAGTAAAAGTAAACCCATTCACGGGAGTAAATTCACTAACACGAGCAAGTTCGTTATACTTCGTATTCATAATAACTAAAAGAAAAAATAAACTTAGTCAACTATTTGTTTTATTTAATCGAAATTTTGTTTAATGTTTGTTTCAGATATTTAGGGGAGAGTACCTGAGTAATGAATTAGTTGTAAATTAATACAATGTAGACAAAATGTACCTATTATTCCTAATATTGTCTTAAGCTACAACACACTTTTGTACGTTATAGAAAATATTAATAAATTTCACATAAACATCTTGTTAACTTATTATCTAATTTATACTAATCATTAAATTTTAAACCATTTTTACGTTCCTCATTCTATTTTTAACCAGCAGTCCCAAAAGTATTTAATTGTTTTTCAGAATATTGGTCAACTCGATAGTTTGAGCAAACATGCAAATACAGAGAATTCTCATATACCATACAATACCTAACAGTTGACAAAGAAGTATGTACCATGATTACAATGTTTAAAAAAACGATAAAATAATACACAGATATTACACAAAAGACGACAAAAAGAAAAAAAAGAAGAGACAAGGTCTGAAATATTCTGGACTGAGGCGGATTTTGGCGCCAATGGAAAAATATTATCATCACAATCTTTACTTTATCTACTACTGATGAGTTCTATAGAACTGCATTTAACCCAGCCCCTTAAATTCTTCGACCATAACACTCTCCTTCTTCCTATACTCCGTCCTCCTCTTATCTTTCCCTGTATTATAAGCCTTAGCAGTTATATCGCTGTCCCCTCATTACGGGTCCCAGATATTGTAACTTTCTTATTTTTATTGTGTTTATTATTTCGCATTATTTGCCCATTTCCCGCAATACTTCCGTGTTAGTTTTCTTCTGTGTCCATGCTATTCTAAGCAGTTAACTTATTTATGTGTTCTTGCTTCAATGTCCAGCTTTCAAGTCCATATTGCAGTATCGAAAACACGTATCTCAGTTCTAATCTAAGATCTTTGTTGCAGAGAATTGTTTTCATTTTTACAAATGCATTTCTTGCTATTTCTATCATAGCTCTTAGTTCGGTTGTTTGATCATTATTTTCTGAAATCCAGGTTCTTAGGTATTTGTATTTATCAATCCTTTCTGTCGGTTTTCATTGTTATTATCATATATTTGGTCTTTTTATATTCAATTTTAGTCCATATTTTTCACAGAAACTGTTTGTTTTGTTTAGCAGTAATTGGAGTTGTTCAGTAGAGCTTGCCATAATCAGGGTGTTATCTGCATATCTTATGTTGTTAATAGATCTTCCGTTAATTATCATTCCTTCACTTTGAGATAGTAATGCTTCTTCAAAAATGGCTTCACTATATACATTAAATAGTAATGGGGACATAATACCTCCCTGCCTAACTCCTCTCCTAATTTTAACTTCTGGACTGGGTTCGTTATCTATTTGTGCTCTTTGATTCCAGTAGAGGTTTGTTATTATTCGTAAGTCCCTATGATTTATGCTTTTTGTCTTTAGAATTTGAACTAATTTTTCAT